CAAAGTCTTCTTCAACCAATCAAATGGCTGCACATGTTTAACAAGTTAATATAAGATTCCAGTTTAGCAGCATTAACAGGCATAAACGGGTAACATGAAAAGTCAAGAGTGAAAAGTGCTATCCAATAATCTGTAGCCAAGTTTCAAGCAAATAGGTAACACACAAGCACAGCTCTCATACGTCTCTAATACAAGAAAATTTATACGAAACAGTCCTCCCTCAGCATGAATGTGAAAATCTATCCAAACTAAATATTGCTAAAGCAATAAACTGCAAAAGCAATATTCAAACGCATATTCTTGTCAAACAAACAAATTGAGGACAAAAACAAACCATTCAACTCTCCAGAATTTCATAGAACTGCTCAAAGGACTATGAAAAAAGTCAAACCTGAAGATAAAACCCAAATATTTCTGGGGTCATTCACCAAAATACTGCCTTTTTTGCTGAAAATTAAAAATATATATTAAGTTGACTTCAGTTAGCCAAGACCAGAACGATTATTTTTTCTCCCTTCACCAAAAATCATCTTGACACCTCTTCCTTCAATAAACCTCAATCTTCTCCCTCCCCTCTCCTTGTTAACTAAACCATAATCTTCTCCCTCTTCCTTTCTCAGCTTCCTATACGTGCCCTTTTGCAATCGATTTCACTTCTAATTTTCTGGCTATTTTGCCTGCTCAATTGTGGAAGCGATGACTGCCAAATAGATTGAGTTCTGCCTTAAATATGAGAACTGCTTAGTCATTGTAGCGGTATAGACACGATGACCAGTGTCTTTTAAGCTTGTGACCTGGCACGCCATCATGTTCCTAGAATATTTAAGTTTGAGTTTGGGAGCTGATCTTTCAATTTCTTTTTTTCTGATAAGAATAATATTATTGCCGTATTTGCCGCTGTGTTGGATCTCTTTTGTTTCTTTCGCATGCAGTTTCTAACGGGGATAAGAAGAAGTAAAGGAAAGAAGAGAATCAGTGGACAATGAAAGTCGAATTCTTAAAAATCCACTTTCAACCGCTGTATTTTTAATTTCTGACGGAAAAAAGGACGAATATCAGATGAATAACAAACGCAACATTTCGGCACTTCAAATGCCAAATTACCACGGCAATAGCCAACTTATATCTGCAAACTGGCACATATCGACATATCATATTCATAGTTTCCTAGATATCCAATAAAATAAAAATTAAAAATTAAAACTCCAAATTAACAAATCAATCTGATGTTGCAAATTATCAAACACAGAAAGGCAAGCAGATCCAATCAGAATCACCAGAAGAACCACAAATCAGCTAAAATGGAAAAGAGAAATCAGAGATGTGAGATTTGAGAAAATGGGAAAAGGGGATGTTTACAACCTGGATGAGCCAAATGGCTGTAACTCCGGCGGCCACGCCCCACGATGCGGCGGCCTGGATATCAGTGGACTGAACGCGAAAGCTCGGCTTCAGGACCTTGAAAAGTCCACCTGATGCAGCGGGGATCGCCATATATAATTCTGGCACTATACCGTTTCGTGTTCTTCACCTCCGATCAAATCAAAAGCCTTTGTCGTTGTTGAACTTCCTGTGCTTTCCTTTGTTCCCTTAGCTTTAATAAAAGGTCAAATTATCCAATTGGCCCTTGAACTCTTTGTCTAGATAAAAATAAGCCCCTCATCTATTTTTTACTGACTTTAAGCCCTCGAACTTGTAAAATTGAATACCCGTGACCCTTTTAGCCAGTTTCTCCGGTTTTGCAACCGAAAGGCCAATTCACACGAATGTCAGTGTGCTTTAAAGAATGGCATTTTTGTCCGCATTTTCTAAGCAAAGAGTGAACAACTCCATCGTCTTCGTTTTCCCTAACCCAACCAAACGTGCATAGATTTCCAGAGTTCTTAAGCTTCAGCAAATCAGGGATAACTGAGTCCGACTCAGTGCATCCGATTGAATTCAGCAGTGAGTCCGAGAGACAGGAATCAGATTCCGTAGAAAAGTCCAACTCATTCGTGGAGACGGAGGAATACGTGGCTCCCAAGATTTTAATCGGGAAAGGTCGCGATTTTGCGGTGAATTGTTGGTGCTTGGGCTTCATGTTGCATGAGATGCTCTACGGGATGATGCCGTTTAAGGGGTCATTGAAGATACCTGAAAATCCGAAGTTAATTGAAGCTTTCGGTTTTCAAAATAATACTGCCTGAAACGATCCTCCAGCCTAAGAGTCTGGTGAATATGATGGGCTTGATACAAGGGCATCAAATCAAATCCTAAAGCCCATGCCCCGCCGTTAGCATAGCCTTCCATGTTATTCTCGCTGAATCCGTCTAGCCCTTCATCATCTTCTTCCTCAAGCGCGTAAACGCAGTCCCGAAGACTGAGACGACTTTGCTCATCGGCTTGCCTCTGCTTGATCTTGAGCTCCTCCTCTCTCTGCCTAGCAGCTGAGGCTTGCCCAATCTCGAGTTGACCCAGATTCCGACTCACTATTCGAATCTCCACCAGCCAGTCCCCAAACTCCTTGCTTACTTTCCTCTTTATATGAGCTCGAATCTCGAGGATCTACTTCCCCAGCATGCGCCGAAGAGTAGACGACGGCATCTTTTTTAGAAACTCACGCTCAATTGAGTCCATGCACTTGAGGGCCATGTAGAAGTTGTTGTTGGAGAGATGAAAATTGGCTCGGGAGCAGAGCTCAACTAATTGAGCACAGGTCCGAAAAGATTCAATGGCGAGTGATGTCCTTGCATTTGTTGCGGGCCTCGACGAAGGAATCCAGTGAGGTAAGCAAGGGGAGGGCGATGGACTGAAGCTAGGAGTTGGAAATGGAGAGAGAGGATTTGAGGGAATCAACGTCGGAGAGGAGGGAGCGGAAGTCGTCGACTGCCATGATGAAGTCTTGGTAGTGGGCCCTATAGACGTCCTCAATTTCAGACTCTTTGGATCGGGAGAAGTGTTGGAGGTGGTGAAGGAGGGTCTCGAGTTCACCGGAGGTAAAGGCCTTGCAGATGAAGGGGCCTAAGTCCTCACCATTACAGATTGCAGGTTAGGTTAGGGAAAGGGAAGAAGATAGAGTTGTTCACTCTTTGCTTAGAAAATGCGGACAAAAATGCCTTTCTTTAAAGTACACTGTCATTTGTGTGAATTGGCCTTCCGGTTGTAAAACCGGGGAAACTAGCTAAAAGGGTCACGGGTGTTCACTTTTACAAGTTCGAGGGCTTAAAGTCAGCAAAAAATAGATGAGTGGCTTATTTTTATCTAGACAAAGAGTTCAAGGGCCAATTGGATAAATTGCCCTTAATAAAATGATGATACGAACATTAAACAAAATTGAAAATGATCGAGTCATCCTCTTTCCTTATATCAGAAGAACAACACGGCAGCAGTGGCCCCAACATCAATAAGCCCGGGACCAACTTCGATTGACATACCAAATTTTTATTTTTGTTTCGGCCCACATTGGAGCCATCTGTTGTGAATTATCCATAGTTGATGGTACAGGCCTTACGGCCCACAGGCCAAGGTGGACAGTGGGGTAGTTCAAAATAAGCCGAAAAAGGAAAAAATTATTGACAGCAGTTGAGGATGTAAAGGAGTCTAATCAAATTGAACAATCTAATATTCAAACTTGCTTGATTTTTTTAACAAGTTTAAAATTCCGTTTAAGTTTGATTTGCTTATTTGTCGAATTGGATTAATAATTGGTGGAATGCTATGTAATCCAAAAATTTTTTATGAATGACATTCAAGAAAAAAGTATTTTAGAAAATTTCATAGAATTAAAGGAACTACTCGTCTTAGATGAATTGATCGAGGAATACTCGGAGATACATCTATGAAAACTTCGTATGGGGATGCAAAAATAAGTGATCAAATTAATCAACATATACAATGAGGGTTGAATTTATATGATTTTGCACTTCCCCACAAATATAATATGTTTTGTTATTCTAAACGATTTTTTCTATTTTGGATAACAAAGAACTGGTTACTCTTAACTCTTGGACCCAGAAATTCCTATATAACTTAAGCGGCATAATCAAAGCTTTTTCTATTCTTTTTATTAACATATTTATGTATCTTATTTCATTTACCTCATGGTTGGGAACTAATTGTTGACTCTTTGCTTGAACAAACTTTTTTCGCGTCAAATTTGAGTCGAGTTTGAGTAGTTTGAAGTTTTTATATATAGAATATAATGTTAGACCGATCGAACCAACTTCAAACTGAATTTAAAAGTTTATTTAACATAAATGTCGTTTAAAGTTGGTTTGACTAATTAGCAAATTAACTTTGAATAAACTCTTATCAAATCGAGTTTGATTTAAATATTGAGTAATTTGATTCATCTTTCAATCCTAACACCAATAGAAGTTTGAATTTTAAGCTCAAATATGGGTTCGAACTTGAGCACAAGAATTCAAACCGAGCCTGACAACTTAGAGCTCGGATTAATTCGATTCTTTTACTACCCTATCCAAGGGCGGGGAATAGCTGATAAAATTATCAACTTTTTAATTTACTAACCATGAAACAGAAAACCCCCCGCCCCCCTCCCCTCTCTTGGTACATAGGAGGCCACAGGCATAAAATCCATACGCTAATCGAGGTAAAGCAACACCAGCAATTCCTCCAGCGCAATAACCGATTAGAGCCATCGTTGAATGAGGAAAAGTAGCTTCCCCAGAAGGCCGCTAGATAGCACCTGCTGTTAGTGTTTGAAGCGACTCGATTACGTACATTGTTACTGTCAACCTTAGCTAAAGCATACGCCAACCAAGTACCGCTAATACAATAGTTACCTGTGGCTCATTGTTAAAGGGATTAGTGACTTAATCTGACGGAATACCCTTAAATCATTTCTTGGCCAGATTACACTTTGCAGTCCATTAAACTTGAAAACCATTCCAAACAGTACCTGCACAGGCAAGTATGCAGATCAATTACTCATCAACCATCTCTCTATCAAGCTACTGCAGCAGATTGCTCATACCAACATTAAGTGAGCAACCAGAACAAAATTGCAAAGTCGTGGTGAAATTTTTTATTTTTCTTTAAACTGTGTCTCTGGTCTAGTAATACTAGACAGAATCAGCTTAACAATTCATCTCTCATTAGAGCTAATCAAATAATTCAAAGTTTAAGTTCGTCCTTCTTAACAACTTCAAACACGAAATAGTCATCTTGGAACAAGCTGTTATATCGAATTTGAAATTTCCGCAGTGCTCTCGCCATTGCAACCTGCTCTTACCGGTCTGCGGCCCTTGTCCGGACCACCAATAATACCCCATCTCTCGAACTGCCTTTGTCGAGCTCTTGCCCTCTCTTTCTCTTCTTCAGATTTTGACGAGTAGCAATATGGACAAGAAACCCCATATTCCCACTCTGGGGCTTCCATGTCCTCATCGCTCACTGGTTGCTTGCATCCGTAGCAAAGTTTGAAAGTTCCCTGCACCAGTCCATGTTCAACTGACACTCGCTTGTCAAACACAAAGCACTCTCCCTCCCATAGGCTCTCAGTCTTGGGAACTTCCTCCAGATAGTTCAAAATTCCACCCTCTAGATGATAAACCTAGCATAAGAATCAGTTTAACCAAGAACCACCTAGTCAGTCGATCAGGAATCCAAGACCCTTTTTACAGGAAGTACATTGAAGATGATCATGAGAACAAAATATTGCTAGAAAGACTACTTTTCTAAAGCCAATCATGTCACCAGTTAGAGCTTCAATTCTACCCACAAGAAAACCAAAAGTCGATAACTAATTTACCTCCTTAAAACCTTTACTTAGGAGAAAACTCGAAGCTTTCTCGCACCGAATGCCACCTGTACAGTACATTGCTACTCGTGGCAGTATATTCTTTCCTTTTGCAGCACCTGTATTTCCAGGTGAACATGCAGTTTCCACCTGATCTTCTGGTTCAGCAAGTCCAAACCTGTCAACCACCCAAGATGGAAAATCCCGAAATGCTGTAGTACATGGATCAACTGCTCCTTTAAATTTTCCAATTCTAATTTCATAGTCATTACGCACATCAATCACCACCTAAAGTTGAATGAAAATATTTAGTACGAGATGACTTTTTAAAGAAGGATAGCAGTTAATATGTTTATGGGAATAAATTGGATTCCAGATGTTTAGCTCTAAAAACACATGTGCATTGACCGATTGAAGGTGCATTGATGTATTACAGCATAAGCAAGTCAACTTGAATACTCTATATCACCCATGTATTCTATATTTTTTCCAGAACTGTTCTCCATTTCCCCTCTCCTCCCAAAAAAAAAAGCAGGAGAAGAAAGCAATTTCAATATATATGAGCCTCACCAAAAAAAAAATCCTACAGAAGTTTCCAATAAATGTAGGGATACTTACACTTTGAGGAGCACAGGAAAATCCATCAATATTACATAACAACATACAAAAAATTTTACAATTGTTCACCTCACCAGAAAACGACATTCAGGATAATCTGACAATCTAAGTGATGGCATGCAAACACAAATGCATTCAGACACAATGGAAATGTTCTTAGCTTCTAAACAGAATTAAGGTGCTAGTAAGTGAAAGCATTTGGAAAAAATTAGCAACCTATAACAGAGTTTTTCAACAGGTAGAAAGGAGATTCAGAACTAAAATCATAGCAAGGTTACTTACAACATCTGGTTCACTAACTAATGCATTCCAATCTCTTGGGCTCACATACTCTCCAACTCTTTCAATTGGTGAAACAGAAGGCAATCCAAGGGTAACAATCTGCTTAAAATCATATTTCAGTAAGCAAAAAAGCAGCCTTTGGTTAACAGAAAGAGTTGTTGCTTTAACAAATGGAATGTACCTCTTTTTTCAACTTCACCCTCACATGATCCCATCTGAAAGGAGCATCTTCCCCAGCTGCTAGAGGAGAACTGCTCATGTGTCCATGATGAATAGCTTCTTCTTCAGGACTTACAGGTGACTCCACACGCCTAAGGCCCCTTAAGCGACTGTCATTCTGAATAAATGCGAGAACATTCTCTACTGAATCTCGGGTCCCACATATACTCCCATTAATTCCTTCTGGGGCAAGAATGATGCCACCTGAAACACGCTGAAGAATATCAGCTCAGTGAGGCATGAATCACACGAAGAGATTTAGGCAGAAAACATAAAGACCCGACGTCAATGGTTTAAGGTAGCCGTAAACGCAAAAAAAGAACAATGATGCAGATATAATTCCAGCTGAACCAGTCATTGTAGTTGCTACTCTCCATAGAGCCCATGAAATAAAATCTTACTACGGCAAAAACATTCGATGAAAGATCAATTAGCCCAACTATCCAAGTATTACACCCTATCCAATCTAACGACCTTTTTCATATCTTTATGTAATATATATTAATGTATAAAAATATTATAATACTGTCTGCAAATATTATCCAAAAACAAAGCTAAAGCTCACATCAAATTACAAGTGACTGTACTATACACTTGACAACAAAAAACAAAGCCGCAAAATCCCTTTCTTGCTACATCCATCTCAATAAAAGATTCAAACTTGATAAGCATACCTCATTTTATTTCACATTTGATTCCACGCAATCTCTAAATCCAAGGAGAACAAGCAACAAGAAGAGGGAAAAAATAGACAAAGTTTACTCAATTTACAAACACTACAAAAAAAATCTACCCACATTTCTCAAATACTTCTCTCAAGCTCATAACTTGCATCAATTTTGATAACTACCGCGAAATAGAAAAATAAACTGTACCAACGCGAAGAAGAAAATTACCAGGCGTTCGCATAGCTCCTTCAATGGCTTCCGTAAATCAGCATGGTCTGGAAAATCAGCAAATTTGTAGAACGAAACCACTGCCAATGGCGACTCAGGGCAGACGTCATTGGACGCTTCAAGCTTTTCCATTTTTGCTTCACATGAGTTCGAAATGGTTGCTGGGTTTGTAGCTGTAGTTGCAAAGGAACACTTAAACGGGGTGAGGGCCTGAGGGAAATTCTGGGAAGTTGGGAAGGCAATTTTGGGATTTGAAGATGGATGAATCTTTATTGGAGTTGTGCAAGACGAGGAGTCGGTGGCCGTAGTAGGCTTCGTTCCGCGGTTAACTAAACGAGTGTTGGCACTAGGGTTTAGTGAGGAGGCGGGAGAGAGCATTCTCAGAGCCGCCGCTAAAGGAGTCGGTGGTCGGCAGAGGAGCAGCGGCTGATTTAGTTGCATTAAGACATGGGGGAATCTAAATTTTGATTTACGGCAAGAGATGATAAGCGCCCTAACCTTTCTGGTAGTACTTTGCAGTATAACACTAAGGTTATTTTTTTATCACTTTTTCCCCTTTTTTTTTTTTAACACAGAAGGTATCCCAACTTATGCTAGACTAATTCTCTAGTGGCTATGTACTCCGCCCTAGGGATACACAACCGGTAGAAGGGGCTCGAATACATTGTCATCAGATTTGTGACTACAAACTTGCGACTATCTGAGCTAACTCCGGGGTTTTTTTTCCCTTTAGATAGTCAACCTAAACATCCCTGACTCTATTTTGATTAGTTGTTTTTTGAGATATTTTAAAAATATTTTACTATAACAGTGTATATGAAACTTTTTTTTAACTATTAATGTTTTTGAAGGTATTTTTGAAATATATTTTAGAGTATTTTTAAAGTTTAAAAATTTTATATTATTTTGTAATCCACCACCGCTACCATCCCTTTCCTCTTTCTCTTCCTCCCTCTCTTTTTGCCTCCTCCTCTTCCGTCTCTTTTCTCCTCTCATCTTTCTTCTCATTTTCTTTCCTTCCCTCCTCCCTTCCCTTTCCTCTCCATTTCCTTGCCACACCTCCCCCCCTTCCCCCCTTCTCGATCTAGCTTCAACCAGTTCGAGGCCGCTGGTCATGCCATCGTGGCCAGATCGTAGGAAGGGCAGGGTGTGGCAAGAAAGGGGAAGGGAAGGGGAAGGAAGAGAAAAAAAGGAGGAAAGAGGAAGAGGAAGGGAGAGGAAAGAAGAAAAAGAAAGGGATGGTGGCGGCGGCAGCGGTGGTGGGTGATGGTGATGGATGGAAAAAGAAAATTGTGTATATTTTATATTTTATTTTTTGTATATTTAGAGTTATTTTTTTTTATATATTGTATGGATGTGGTGTTGTTGGAGTTATTTTTATTTATGTGTTATTGTAGTATTGTATATAAAAAACTTATTTAAAAAAAAAAAGAGGAATCCAAGATCCTAAAATGTTGTCACAATTTTCCAAAACATTTATTGTCAAAAACAAAAAAGAAAATGTTGTCAAACATTCAAAAATTTCCACGTTGAAAAATGTGGGAATTTTCAAAAAAAAAAAAAAGAAAATCAGATCCTCATTCCATCGGTATTTAATTCGGAGGCATTAATATGTTCTACTTAACAGATATTTTAGACTCTATGTACCAATAACGTTGGAAAAAATTATTTAAAATAGCACCATATTATTTTTTGTGGTGTTTTTCACTATGAATTTTTTCTATGATATCACATTTCACGTATAGTATTTCATTTTGTTGAAATATTTTATAAATTTTATAATTATCAGCAATTTTAATTTGTTGACATTGATATCAGAGTAAAATTTTACTTTGCACACAACCGATCCACAATTTATGACATATTTCCTCTATATCTGGTAATTTAAAGCTAACAATAATATAAAATTTGATAATCTTTTTATGAACAAGATTCACGGAATATGCAGAAGCATCGAATTCTATACTAGTAAAAAATATAAGTAGGCTTATATTTTAGCTTTTTTTTAAACCATTTAAAAATATAAAATCTAGATACGGAGGAAAACAAGAACATAAATTTTCAAAAGGAAAACCTAATTATCAAAAGTTAGAATCATGCAAAATAATCAAACGATAACAAGCCGTATGTCTTGTCCTGGTTCCTTGCCTTCCCCTCATATGTCTTCCTTTCCCTTGTGAAAGTGTCCGAAAGTAATAATGAGGTAATTAAGTTACAATACCAATTAATCCTTACCATGATCATACTTCTTTGATCAAAGCATCTCTTATCCTCTTCCTTTTTCCCTAAAATTAATTGTTATTTACATAGTGGATTTTAACACCAAAACACTTTTCTTTTTGCGGATAATAAAAAAAAAACTTGTTAAATACGTAATCAATCAGGCACACTATCAAATATTCAAATTTCATTCTAAACGAACCTTCAGAGCTATGACAAGATGTGTCGGATGTAAATTAGAACACAGCAAGATGGAGAATTTCCGAATAATCAAATTGCGAAACAAATCAAAAAAGCTATTTTTCATTTTTTTTTATTTTTGGTGGAAAAATCAAGAAGCTAGAGTAATCATAGGAATAGATGCATGTTTATGACATCATGTCCGTTATTCACCTGGACTGGTTGGGGTTTCCTACATGTTCTAGACGTATAATGACTTGCACTGTCTTTCTTTCGGACTCGGGGCACGGACGGTTGCAACCTGCAACCGTCCCTGTCAATTGTAGTCATTATCAACTGACTATAACTTTCTTTGTACATCGTGTAACTTTTTTTTCACAGGATGTATTTTCACAACAGATAGTGATGGGCCCCACATTTAACGCGAAAATCGAGTTACATGGTGTAATCTCAGCCGCACAAAATTGTGAGGGCCAAGACCGTGCAGGGACGGTCATTGCCCCAAATCCCTTTCTAGATAAACCTGGCTGAGCCACAAAGTTTTCAACGCCATGATTTGGCCCTTTCCTTTTCTGCAATCTGCATACCTACAAAATGAGCATCCCTCTCTCCACAGCAGAGAGCCAGAGATGGATAGAGATGGAGTGAAGGCAAAATACTGTTCAGCCTAAAGCTCGCACTCCAATCTTGACCACATGGTGAAATGGACTCGATATTTATATTTTAGATTATATATATTTTTAGGAATCTTCATTACGCGAATCTGTCGTTGATTGATGTGATACTGCTGCTCTAGTACATTGAATCCATCCTGCATTGTGAAAGCTGGAAAAGAGGAGTGCAATGTTATAGGCGCATTCATGCTGCTAGGTGTACCATAAATCAAGGTAGTAATCTGTGCCCATGTCACCAGTCCCTGTGACAGTAGAAACACAGAGCAAACAAAAAAGAACTAAGACATGATGTTTATGCAGGAGAAATAGCAATATAATAAAAAATAGGACAGAGAGTGGCACAAGATACGGAACAGAAGATCCGTTGCGTTCACCTTTTTATCTCACATACATCACATCACAAAAAGTGCTACATTACAAATATCTCAAATAATTTACAATCCAAACAGAGCCGATCGATTTGGCAAAAACTTGACATTGAACTCAGATCTATATACAACTGAAATTAATCACACAATTATTGATTCCCTTGTTACTTATCCTCTCATCGTCTACTAATTTATATGCATGTACCAATACCGTATAAGCAAAAAGGTGAGTTTCATTTGACATATGATACTACTATGTTGTTGGATTACCCCAGCCAAAAAGGAAAGTCTACGAGTGTTATTTTCTCGGTTTTGTTTTGTTTGGATTGTTATTTTTCAGCGAAAAATTTTTACGCTTTTCATAAACATATTTTCTGATCACATTTTTATTTTACATTTATTAATTTTTTATAGCATATTTTTTTACAAAAACTTTTAAGCATTGCAATCCAAACAAGGCTGTTTCCGGATTAGAATCAAGGCCCCTTGAGCATTTATTCTAAAGAGACCCCGACAATTAGAAAACGTGCATCGACCATTAAAAGTGCTTAAGCATATATTTACGCGCTTCAACGAGACACAAGGACCCCAATTTCAAGTAAGATAATAATTCTGCCGACGAAATTGCCATTTTGGGGCTTTGACCTTCGCTTCTTCCCATTTGCTGCAGTACTATTGTAGTATAACACAATCATAGAGCAAGTTGGTGCATCGGAACTCTTGAGAGCTAATTCATATTCTGGAACAGAAAAAAGAGAAATTGGTAAATAATCGATAAGATTAATTCAAGATCTTATAATAAAAAGAATCCCAGGAATTATATGGTTTTGAAACTTCTAAAAGGATAACAACTAGCGCCAATAGACCCAGGCATGCTTTGGGATGATACGGCTATAATAAACTCTCAGGATTAGATACTTATATATACTTGAGGCACAAGGCCAGAGTGAGCTCAATTAAATTACTTATTGGGTAAATAAAAAAGTAATAATAAGGAGAAATTCCAAGAATTATTTTTCCCTGATACTTAAAATCTCGTGCTCAGCACGCATAGGAATTAATTTTTGGAGACACTAATAAGTCATTCACTATTTTCCCCCAGGTAAGGTGCAGTGCTAGATGTTGGCTTTTTAAGGACACAATAGTTTGTTTGGATAGAAGTTTATTTGGATGATTTATTTGAAATAATTACTGTAATACTTTCTATGATGTAATGTATGTGAGATAAAAAGGTGATTGAAAAAATAAAAAGGTAATTGAAATTTGTGAAACAAATTATTTTATTTCAAATCTTCTTAATCCAAACACCCCCAATATATATATTGAAATAGAACCCTGGCTAGTTGAGAAAGATTTTTTTTTTTCAAAAACTCGAAGAAGAAAGAAAATGGAACTTTACTGTGGTTATTTCTTACTACTTTTTACTTTTTGACTTAGTCTTCTTCTTTTTTTTTTTTTTGGGTCAAATTTTATTTTACTATTGAGCTAGTCGTTTGACACTTTCTTGTAGTTTCACTCTCTAACTACCTATTTTTGTTGTTATCACCATTTAAAAACTACTTAAAAGGTTCCGATCAACATGCGAAGTTGAAGATGGAATTCATAGTTCAATGTAGCTAGTGGGGGGGGGGGGGGCATACCTCTTTGTACGGAATAGGATTATTCAATGTCTTGTACTTAGTATTTATTATTGGCAATTGGCAAGTGATTTATCAAATTTAATTCGTTCCCTACGTAATTAATGAGGACCACGAGATCAAGTGGGTAGGAATTAACAGGCTTCAATATACTCGTATTGGCTAATCTCAGACAACTTGCCAAAAACAAAATCAAAGGTTCAAGCCGGTTGCCATTTTAGAATATCCCTTAGACGCTTCGTTTTCTCCGTCCCACTTTGATAGTGCTGTTTTCTTTTTTCGTCTGTCCCAAATTGTAGTCTACTTTCCAATTGAAAAATGTAGTTGCCTTTTAATTTCTCAAAAATACCCTTATTTAATGTAAGTTGTTATTACTGTAAACTACCTTATTTAATATAGATTGTTAGTATTGAATATAATCTACCCTATTTAATGCATTTAGATTTTCCAAAACATATTATGAAAAGCCAACTTTATTTAATGTAAGGGTATATTAGGAAAATAGTAATCTAAATTTGTTTTTCCAATAAAGTTAACTACTTTTTCTTAAATTGTGTGAAAAAAAACTAAAACTATCAAAATGGGACAGAGAAGTACTTAATTAAATCAAGAATAACCTTCCCATTTTACTCTCCAGACGCACTTCATTAGTCCATCAAGTAAAAGACAAACGGCAACTTTCATTGTAGTAATTAGTTTAAATCCCACAGTAACTATGATAAGATTAGCTCAGAAATTGTAGGAAATGTATAGTAAGTATGATTGACAGTCTACGTTAGTAGCAGTTAAAACTGCAGTTTAGGATTGACTAAATTGCTAGTAAGCTGATTCATCCTTAGACTAACCGACTTACTAGTCCCAGAATTTTTCCTTTTCCATATTCTGATTCCAACCAATGACAGTAATCACTCACAGTAATAAAGAAAGTAAAAACTGCTACTAGTTGCTATCATGTATAAATATGATTTTAGTTACTTTGCTAATGCAGTAATTTGGTCCGATTAAAACTCGACATTTCACTTGTTCGATAATAAAAAATATTTTGAAGTAATTAACCGACAATACGATTGTCACACTCTTAGTCAATCTTTGAAATGTTCAACAATTTTTTAGGAATTATATATAGTAGTATTAGAGAATCATCTAAACTTACAGCCTGGCAACATTGAGGGGGCAGATTGTCATTACATAAAAACTATGGTGCAAAATATTAAAAAGGCGATACTATAAGTCCATAATCTTGCAATTACCATCCCTCCCAAAAAAAAAAAAGAAAAAAAGAAGTTCCAGTTGGAAATTACATCGTAAATTACGGAAGTGTCCCCCTGAGAAATGAAGCGTAGATTCTGACTAATTGTCTCGTATTTGGGTGCACAAGTGGAAATACACAAATAAGATATGCCAGAAGCATAGCCATCTGCGTCATCACCCAGACGCCATCAGGAAGACATCACAAGATAAGCGTCAGCATTACTACTGTGCGTTTTTATTAGTTTACTTAGTAGTATAATCTACGCTGGAGATTTTTTTTTGGTGTAGTAATTTTCTTTCTCCTTTCCTCCAATTTGCTTACCGTTTTCCTCACACCTTCCTCCTTTCCTATCCCAAAAAGCAGCGCAACCCTTCCATTTTCTTCACTCACTCGACCCTCCTTCCAAATATCCCCCCAGCCAAAAACCCACTTCTTGGATAAGCTTAAGACCATGGACTTACCAAACCCTCAACAGCTCCGTACAATCCAAGAAACTGTGATCGGAAAGCTACTAAAAGGAAAAGAATCCGCAACCCAACTTGTAGCCTTACTCAAAAAGCCCAGAAGCTCTGGAGATCGTGGTGGGTCGGTCTCGGCTGAGGAACTTGCCCTCCAAATCTTTAGATCTTTTTCTGAGAGTATTTCTGCCTTTAGCTCTCTTGAGGGTAAGGGTAATGGGATATGCCAGATCGTGGCCGCCGACGGCGTCGTTAGGGTGTCTCCGTTGACCGGGGGAGCTCCAAGACTTCGGACAACAGCAGGAAGAGGCTAGGAGTGAAAGATCGGAGGGGTTGCTATAGGAGAAGGTGAAGCGATAATATATTACTTTCTGCAATAGTGACTACCACTAGTATTTTTACTGTTGGCTTCTTGTTGAATCTGTGTTCTTTATTCTTCAAGCATATACTGTACTGTACTTATTAATGTTGTGTTGTATAATTTGCATGATTCTTCTTGCAAGGTGATGGCGGCGATAAGAAATTAGTAGTAGTATATATATTGATTTGGATTTTTGCTTGGATGTGTGTGTTTGGAGATTCTGAGATGTTTTCAGAAAGTAAACTTTAAATAACTCAAAGTTGCAATAAAAACAAAGAAGAATATATACTTGATTTCACTTTTCAGCCACCATGATGGTGATCATATATGGAGCAGCAGAAATAATAATGATAGAGCCGAAATTTTGGTATAACTCCATCCCAGTTATTCAGCTAATTATTAGTGTAGCTGACAAATATAACAAACATTTTTTTTTGGTTCTTGTGATTAAAAAAGAAAGAAAAAAAAGGAAGTACGTACTTGCTGACAAATAATGTCCCAAATAGTAGTAGTAGTAGAAACTCACACATGGGATTAGACAGTTATTTCTTATTCATTTGAATATTCCTATGGCCTTATATATTTTCTTTTACCTTAATGCTTCTAACCCAGAAAAGACATATATATCTGTTACGTATATATGCTTTAAATATTCTGTACTAGCTACAGGCTTTATTTAGATAATTGTGATAAATAAAATTGGTGGCCAGGTTCTTCTGTGATTCTTTTTATTTTTCCTTATTTCCCTTTCATGAGCTTGGGTGGTAAAATTTTGAGTATTCGATTTACTTATTTATTTTTGAGATCTATGTACATTTCCATTCTCCTTCAACTATCTAATCAATTAAGTTATCCATATTGAATCTGCAGAAACGTTGCACAGTCTTCGATTATTGTCTCCTCTACTGTGGAAGATGGACATGCATGGAGAAAATATGGACAAAAGGAAATCCTCAACACAACATATCCAAGGTATATATTGTCTCTTGAAGCATAATTTGTTTCTTTATGTGACAGTACTAGAACAGTATAAGAAAATCACAGCAGCCTGAAAATATTACTTTAATTATCTCAGTTATAAAAAGGAGTTGGCAGCACAAGAATGCTTTGTAAACTATTATCTGATGAGGATCCACCACTGACAAGTCATGACAAATAAAAAGTCCCTTTAGAACTGAATAGTGATGCCTTTTTTCTCAATTTTGTGATTGGCAGGTGCTACTTTAGGTGCACCCACAAGCATGATCAAGGCTGCAAGGCAACCAAGCAAGTCCAGAGGATCAAAGAGGAGCCCGTCATGTACCAAACCACATATTTTGGGCATCATACTTGCAGTGATACCCTGATGAGGGCTCCACAAATCATCTCAGACACAGATCCCATGGACTCTTGTCTGCTTAGTTTCGAAACAAAGGCCCCAATCAAGCAAAATCTTCTTTATCCTAATCGGGTGATGACCACCGCCACAGCCACAGGGAATCAAGAATTCAAAGATGAGACGCAGAGTGATGTCTCCGACAACAAATCATGCCTGGATTCTTCTACCATGTTGCAGAATCCAACGACTAATTCAGAGACATCTGGACGGAGATCCTCCAACGTTAATGGAGCTTATCACGAAGAAGTGGTCTCTGGCATGCACTCATGCTCATCAACTCCTTTGCAAGGGCTGGATATGGAGGATTTCAGTACTAAATTTGATGATCTAGACGATCATCTTTTATTTGACGACATGGCCGGGCTCTTGCCTGCCCTTTCCTAAACTCTTGGCCTGTATCCATATAACTTCACTGTCTTCCAACTCCAGAAGCTGTTCGGACAAGTGATTGAAATTCAGCTGCTCTCGCCTGCCCGGAACTAAAGGGAACTGCTTTCTCTCTAATTCAAGTCCTTGTGCTTCACTAAACATGGTGTCCACTGGTTAATTTGTCATTACTGTAAAAGGTATAGCTGTAGATGTAAATGTCTGTGTGGTGGGGTGGGAGCTACCGTTTGTTCTTTTTCTTTATCGAGGTGTGATTAATGTAACTATCGATAATATGTACGACGCTAATACCTTTTACTGCTATAATTTAATAACCCAGTTAGATGTGTAAGACAAGTAACAGTTCTTCATACGAGCGTTCGAATACCTTGAAGAAACGTTGCAGCAACTAAATCATTGCTTAATGAATCCATCATTATTAACAGCACTCTACAATCACTAACCAGAAAAGAGCAAGTGACGATGGGGAAGGCGCTATCGTTGGTCTGCAAGTTGATGCACGATTTTACACATGTTTTATGTTATAGTACCGCCGGTCTGGTCCATATCAGCTGCATATGCTAGATGGATAATCCAATATTTTCACCATCTTCCTGTACTAAGGGCTTGAAAACCACAGGATCAAGTTCAAGTGGTAACTGGTAGGTCATATACATATCTTGTGTGGCCCAGCCTCAGATACCACCATAATTCTTTTCGAGAATTAACATTGTAATATGGGTATTCTTAATACTTCGCTTTCCCTTAGCTTCTGCAATTTCTGACACCGACTTGGATGATGGAACCGGAACCTTTATGTCTTTCATTCACGGAATTGCAATCTTGTATTTGCTCTGGATTTTTATGTACTCGATAAATAAATGCTTTTTTCTTCCTTCCTTGGAGTTGCATATATCTATATGTAACTAGAAATGTACTAATTGCTATAAAAAAAAACTGTAATAATTTATCTTTTGTCATTTCTGGCCACCATGCAGAAAACGACAAAGACATAAGGAATTAAAAATCTAGACTTTTCCCCTTTATATACTAACGTAACAAAAGGAATTGTTTCTTTCCCTAGTGGGTGTGTTTGATAGGTAAGTTATTTCAAATAATATTTTGTTTACATTATAAATATATTTTTTAACTCATTTTTTATATTTTTAATTATCTTTTTATCTCACGTACATCACATGACAAAAAATATTACTGTGCACAAATTTAGAGATTATTTGAAGTATTATTTATAATTTTAACTGTAGTATGTTTTGTGATATGATATATGTATGATATATAAAAATATAGTTCAGAATATAAAAGGTGATTGAAAAATACGTTTCTAATACAAATAGCATTTATTGTATTTAAACACGCCCATTGATATCAACCTAATCCTTAACAAACAGAAAAGTTAAGAAAAGCTCTAGATGTATAATTAGAAATACAAATGGATCTAATCAAACTAGATAGCTAGTATTTAAATCTATTGGATTATTTTAACGAGTTTAACTTTTTTTTTATTGGTCAATCTCAAATAAATTTTATCGAGTCAGTGTGAAATTTTTACATGTATATTTCAAATTCTACACTAATTGTGCAAACTCAAGAACACAAAATGCTCATCATTTGGTTTGTTTAGTCGGGAGCTAAACAAACTCCAGCTCTTATGGAGCCAAATTGGAATTTAGTAAGGTTCCGAGCCAAATTGGAGTTTTTTTCTTCTTTCTCTTTTGCACTCTAGGGTTCTGAATTCTAGATATTTCTTTTTTTCTTCTCTCTCTCTTGCACTCAAATCCTGGACTTCATAGATTGAGCGATTCTGACCTCTCACGCAAACTGCAAATGCTTACGCCGAAAGAAGATCCTGCTTGCAGCCCTTTTTTTTTGTTTTTCTTTTTTGAGCTACTCGCAGCCAATTTTGCTCTAAACTGTGCACAAAATTAACCAAACGAGTCGCAGTAATATTACAATGGATATGTTAAATAGCTTCATACTACCATTAAACCACAAAATACTTTCGATGGAAAATTTGCTTCATCTAAAATACTGCATCAACCAATCATTAATGTCATTGCCACCCCGAGAATGCAAATGCGCGGCCAAAAAACACTTGGATAGAGTATTGTTTGGTATAATTATTGGAATATTTTTTGTAATGTAATGTATATGAGATAAAACAAATAATTAAAAATATAAAAAAATAAATTTATAATACAATAAAAATATTATTTAAAAAGATCCGGTTACTTTTCTCTTCGGAGAACCAATAACTCATTTCAAAGCGACTAGTAAACACAGTAGTACAACCTTAGCCAATTCATTAGGCTAGTGGATAGCCAGTTGGCACGTAGTTAAAGAAAAGTCTTTGAAGTAATGATTGTTCCCTTTCTTGTCTTATTGAGAAGAAATTCTCAACCAGACTCGGCCACGTATAAAATATAATAAATTAGAGCCGGAGACACATGATGACTGTAACTTGGCCATGGCATCACGGCTCCTTTTATGGTTGAGGTTTATCAATTTCCTTTTTTTTTTTTTTTGGGCAACTTCATAACTAGATTCACTTCAAGAAAAATGTCTGATGTCGGATTGTTAAGTGTAATTATATTGTGAAGTTTTCTAAAGAAACCTAGTAGATTTAGAAGTGGAAGAGCATAATACTATTCAACAAAAAGAATATTAGGTTGTGTTTGGATTGTATTTTTTATGATTTTTCATGAAAAAAATACTGTAGCGATTTGATGTATGTGAAAAAAAAGGTAATAGGAAAATGTGATCACGGAAAATGACGTAATTTTTCGACGAAAAACGGTAATCCAAACAAAGCTTAGAATTCAACGATCCTTGGATTTGTAGTTTGGGGCACAAGATTTGCCGACTGCAAAGAAGATCAAAGTGATGCGATGCATTTTTGTCCTACATTCTATGGAGTGTCAAATCAATACTAGATTTTTTTTTCATTTGGTAGGGGGGGGGGGGGTGGTAGAAAATTATAAATAGTCGCGTGGTGATTAAATTACTGCAATTGCATGATTAATGTACAGCTTCCGTGCCCTGTATGCAATTTCATGTAGTCCCTTTTCATATTTGCTGCCGTCAGAAAATGGGAGAACTCCAAAATTATTGAGGAACCTAATATTGATTTGCTAGCTAGTATTAATTGGTACACAAATTAATCAAGTAGGGAAAATTTTGGAACTCCAACGGGATAATTTCCCATTGTAACATTAAATTATACAAGTAGGGAAAATTCTGTATATCCTGCTTGAACAGCCTCCTCCTCCTCCTCCTCCTCCTGTGTTGCAATCGAGGATTCTTCAATCTTGCATCGTACAATTAAAAAGAAAAAAAATTTTTATTCCGTACTTAGACGGGGCCTAGACTAGAGTGTGAATCTTCTTGATCAATTAGATGCTTAATTAGGTTGTTACCCGGTACTTAAAACCTTAAAACCAAACCACGAGAGATGAATCAATGAGTTAATGATTAATTTTTCTTGTCTGCTGAATCCGGCCATTTGTCATCCATGGAAGAGAAGATGAGGTCCATGCTAGTACTGCTGCTGCTACCGGAGTTAAACATGACATCAGCCATATCTGCGACGGGGTAGTCAACATCCCTCCCGTAGCCGGGAGGTGGATGGACCGGCTGCTGCGCCACCACTCGTACTGCTGCCATGTTAACGGTGCTGCTAGTGGACCCTACTACGCCTCCCCCGGCAACAGCGAGGCCAAAGTCACTAATGGTTAGCCATTGGCTCATGGACAAGGTGGTGTTGGTGGTTGGATTCGGAAGAGAATGGATGGCAGCTGCCGTGGCTTGTTGCATCATACTGTGAGCTTCTCTTCGTTCCACCGGCAACGGTGGCGGTACAGATGGGGCCGTGGATGACAGATGGCACGTGTGGTCGCCTCGGTATGTCACTTCGAATATGTTTGGATCGTCATCCAGTCGCTGGACTAGTTTCTTGGCTGGACATTGGTACAGCTTTTGGTGGGTGCACCTGAAATAACTCCTGGAAAAGACACAATCCAAAAGTTTTACAAATTCAATCATATGTTGGTTTTCATCTTTCTTTGTCTCCTAACGAGCTGTTATGGTGCGTGTTAATTTCCAAGTAATTTACTTTCCTTCCTAGCTAGCCTGTCAAATTTCGTCTGATTAGTAACAAGCAATTAATACGAGGGGTGTCCAGCATTGATGCGATGTAATTTCGGGGTACTTTCGTTAAACAATACAACTCCAAAAAAGCATAACAGGGTAATTAATTGCATCCTAAAACCGGTCAACTCTTTAGTATTATATTCTTCAATTTGTTTTCTTGACTGACGCGTGAAAAATGCATATCTGAGTGCATGGCATGTATTTTCATCTGCTAGAAAGGGTTATTATCATTTTGTTAATAAATAAAAATATATGTCATGCATTTAATTTAATGAAAAGCAAAGTAACTTTTATTCACACGCTTCTTTTAAGGGCCGCTTGCCAATTTCACTCCACCGCGCTCTCGTGGCGGTCATATCATATGCTACAACTTAGTTCCAGCTTTATATTCAAAGGTCTTCAGCTTGGGAAAAATGCAAAATGTTCATTGACGCTTTCAAATTCAAAGAGTCAGAACATACAAGTTAGGCCTTACGTAGAAACACAGTAATCAATAAAAAACCTACTACGTTCCGGCTTTCTATTCGAAGGTCTTCCCTTCAGTATGTGAAAAATGCAAATGTCCATTGACGCTTTCAATACCAGAACTTGTGTAGAAACATAGTATAGTAGGTAATCACAAAAATGTGCTAGATTCAGTTGGCTTCTAGGATTGCGCATGTACCTTGGAAATCTAGAATTAAGAATGTCTTTCTGGCCGTATTTTCTCCATGTATAGCCATCCTCAGGTGGAATCTCGGTGTTTCCCATCTGTGGAGCAGGTACTCTCTCAACCCTTCTCTCAACACCGCCGTCCCTACACGTACATAATAAAAAAAAAATTATAAACAGATCAGAATTGAGAATCCCGTTTCCGGGTCAATTTATCTACAAGATTCTGAATATAATTTTATGCACTTGTCGTAACACAAGAGAAGCTGAAAACGAGATTATGTATATCATAGTGGGAGAACTGCAAATAACTTCATTTAAAAGGGACTATGTCATTCTCATGTTACAAGGATCCAGAACGTTTTGTGTAAACCAGTATTCAAATTTTTAGGCAAGAACAATGCTACCAAGCCAGCAAGCCTATGATCTTCCTTGTAACCAAATTTACTGCTAATGAAGCCAGAGAGGTTTAACTTAGTTAGGCCCAACAGATAGACTGCAATTATAAATTGCTATTCATATACGGTCCCCTTTCTGGT